CATTACATTATTATTATTATTATTATTATTATTATTATTATTATTATAATTATTATTATTACTCAAATCAGTCATTTGATAGATGTTTTTACAATGGAATATATTTATTTGCCTATTTTACGAGACCTTATCTTTCATAGGATGCCCTTTAACAAAACTCATTTGAAATGAAATTGTTTATTTATACCTCTATCCTCCTGTCCTAGAATATTTTTAATATTCCATCTATACTACGTATATATATAAATATTTTACATCAAGCCAATCGATTATCAATACGTAATCATTCGGCTTTTATTTTTTAATAATACGTGTCTCCACTTAATTTTATATTGAATATACTAAATGTCTGAGTGTACAAACCAAAATCTTTACTGAATACTAAATATTAATTTAATTACTATAATAATAGTAATTTATAATACGAGACTTTTTATTACTTGAAATGATCTATTTTCATTCAAAGTATTTAAGTTCTATTTACTTTTAATCTTCATCGTCTTTACAATATTGATCGTCATTTTATTCATCAGTAATAAAGCATCCGAAATATTTAATAAATTCATACGTTTTTCAGTGTCGTGCGTCTTTGTTTTATGTAAACGGTTTCTAGTCGTCGTACTTGAAACAATTTACTCTTATTATTTTACGTTAATTACTACGATGTTAATTCTCGACTGATTACATTTTTATTTCCTGTACTTTGTAAGCCTGTCAATTTCATGTTAGCAAATGTAATATCAAATATGTTGTAGTTAGTATTCGTTTATTATCGTTGCGTTATGCTGCACTTCCACTTGGCCTTTAACGTTGTACTTAAGTCACTTTGGATTGCTTTGAATTCTCAATAAAGTTCCCATTACTATTTATCTCTTCATACAACAAAGTCATACTTCATCTACTATACAATCAGTGTTAATTTTATTTTCTAGTCTATTCCATTAAATTTTATTATACTTATTGTCAAATATACAATCCACTGATAATATATTCATAGTACATTGTATTTTGTGTCTAAGTTAGAGCGCACAAAATTAGTTAATTTGTTAGAAAATGGATAAACCATCGATGATTTGGTAAGATTACATATCAGAGCTAATATATATTAATCATAATTATATAAAAATCATCGGACTAAATCGAACATAATTAAATTAATGATGTTAAATTAAAATTTTTAGACCTCATTAATTTTAATTTTAATTTTAATGAATTTGTGTGTTACGTAATTACATATTAAAAAAAAGAAAAAGAAAATAAAAAAAGACTTGTGAATTATTATAAGAAAATATTTATCCTCACGAGTCACGTTAATTGATTAAAGCCATATTTTACGCAATCATTTCTTATTTACAAAGAAATTCAAACTGTGATGCTCAATTGAAATATTAATTTCTTGTCTTAATTTATACTTATATCCGCAATTATTAATTATACATACATTTGTCATTTTTATTAGTTTCCAACAAAGTATATCAAATACGTTTACTACACCAATTTATAACACTCGTTTAGTTTTATAATAATAAATTATAGTTCATTGTGAAATCAGTCGATGTTTGATCTGCGAATTTTTAGTTTTAAGCTAATTAGCATACACGAGTATTTGACAATCAGTGCATACATAAAACTAGATTTAAATTAATATTGCGCATATAGACGTGATTGTGATTTATATATCGAAAATACATTAAAGCATCACCAATTCTATTTTTCCTTTTCTTTGACATTTTATACTCTCTTATGGCACTCGCTATATTCAAGATTGTTGTATACACAAATAAAATTATTCTACATAATGACAAATAAAGTTATATTTTTATAAGAAAAGTATTTAAAAATATGTTAATAAACTTGTCGTTTAAGCTCTACTTTCATTTTGAATTTGCCCTTCTTATAAGAAATATGGTATGTTTAAATTTGTTAAATATTTTTCTGCAATATTAACAATTATTTTTCTTTAATCATAATTAATAGCGAATATATTTAAGTGCTATATATATATATATATATATATATATATATATATATATAATTTATATCGCAAAATAGCAGAAATGTTTTTACTTACTGCACTTCATTTGTTTCGGAAATAATAGAATTAAATAGTACGATTATTAAATATATAATTATAAAATATGAATTTCCTCCTCTATAAATTTTATTTTCTTAATCTCTTTTAATATTATAGTAGGTTTTGTTATGTAAGGTTATAAAGGCAATTTAATGCAATCACTACATACCATTACGACTATCTTAGCGCAATTAAGCAGTTAATTCTACAATAAATTTCAGTGATTCACATGCTATGAAACTCTTGAAGTGAAAAATTATTAGATAATGATGTAAAGTTTTGAAATATTATGCTCTTTGTATAAATAACTTACTGTCTGTATTTTCAAATCACAAGTAATGTATTGGAATTTTCAGTACATAATATTTTACGGTACATTAAAGTTACGTTACAAAATTCCTAGGCTTGGCTTCTCTTTTCTCCACTGCTTATATTTATGTTCATAGACTTCTGTGAAACTTCAACCATTTCATTTTTAATATTTAGTTTCAATTGATAGATTATACGTTAACCGTGACATTTTTCTAACTGATCATCGCAATGAAAAGCTTAGAAATATAGTTAAAATAACTATTGAATTAGATCTCGTGATAATAGATTTGTTGCTCTACAGTTTTTCGAAATTGTCTTAAAAGAAAACAAAAAGGGCTGAAGAATTTACATTTCAGGTATAAGATTGCAATTAAATATTTTCATTATATTTGTAATTTTATTCCCGTTTGATTAACCTAGTTAATGTTTTTTATTAACAAGATTGAAAATATTCATTAATTTTTTAATTGACAGTCGCTGGCTATATTCACATTAAAATTAGCACAAACTTCTATTTCAAGTTATGCGTATGATTTTTCTAATCTAAACTGTTATCATATTAATTCTATAATACCTGCAATTAATTAGATAATAATAAGAGCTATGGAAGTTGGAAATAATTCGTCAATTCTCATGCCTGAATTTTTGGGCCCTGTTTTTAAAAAAGAAAACATTAATTTACAGCAGGTTAGAAGGAATCTTGATAATTTAAAAAAAAAATAAAATTTTTGTTAAAAAGTGTCATGTTAATAATAAATAATTTATATTAGGTTCTTATTAACAACAATCTATACATGCAATCAACAATTTTGGCGACATTTTTACCCGATGAGCTTATTGTTTTACTGCATGATAAAACGAATTATTTTGAGACTTATAAGGCTATAGTATTAATTTTAGATATATCTGGTTTGAATTTAATTATTGTATGTCTAATTTCTTGATAGATGAATTAGTATATTTTTATTGTGTAATTTTTATTAATTTTAGATTTAGTTTCTTGTTTCGATGAGTTTTATAACATTAAGAATTACGAAAGTTATAATTTATGTCAGATTTTAAATTTATACACGAGTGCTGTTGTTGAACAGATTTATATTCATGGAGGAGATGTCATACAATTTACAGGTTGTAACAACTTTTTCAAATTAGTATAATATGTTTTTTCATAATTTGTTAATATGATTCAACTTCAATAGATGAAATGATTTTGTCAATATGGAGAATGCATAAGAACACATTAATACAAGAACTTATGAATAAAACCATATGTTGCTGTTTTATTATACAAGATATTACAAAAAATTTTGAATGCAAAAGAAACATGAATTTCTTAAAACTTTCACAAAGTACAATATCATATAAAAAATTTACTCGTAACAATTCATAGCATAACAAATATTATTTTTTCTACTAAAACTTTTAATTTCTCCAAATATACTATTGTTTAATAGAGTATTTAAATTGATTAAATTTCATGATTTATTATATATATAATTATTATTTTATATACTTAAAAAATAATTATACATATAATGCAATTCAAGAGGCGGTTTATAAAAGTCGATACTTGGCAATTCTATTGCAAATTTTATTTTGATTTAATCATTATATTAAGTAAAGAATAACATGCGTGTTATTAATTGAGCTAAAAACCTATAAATTTGTCGTTATTTTTTTTTTTTTTTTTTTTTTTTTTTTTTTTTTTTTTTTTTTTTTTTTTATTGATTTCTAATGTATTTTCAACTGATAATGTTACACAAAAATCTTCCTATTTTACATCATTACAAAAATGTATTTAATTGTAAAATTTAAAATACATATTATAATATATATATATGTATAACGAATATAAATATTTTCATAAATTTAACAAAAAATTATATTATGTCAACGTCTGATGAATTATTGATCGATGACTTATTGATGAAACTAGTACTTCCATCGTTATTACAAATGATTAATCCTTCTACCTTAGCATTTATAAAAATTTCCATTTCTATTGGAAATGTAACTTTCACGATGATCGGCGATCGTCATGGTGATATTCTTCATTATATTATAACTGGTAACGCAGTGACATTGGCTAAAAAAGCCATTAATTTAAATACAGTCGATGGATTTATTATTCATCAGAGTGCAGCCAAGTATTGTATTTTATCTCATTACCTCCACGAGATCATAGATGACTATCACATTAAGGTATTTTTTGTACAATATTTTCATTACGATAATTAACTTTTTACGAGTTTTATTAGTTCAGTGTGTCGATTGAATATAATTTTGATATTTATTTCAATTATTATTTCACGTTATTTATATGACTACGATAAAAAAGAATATCTCTTAGATTTGAATTTTTATTTAACTTTGAAGCTAAATGTAATTTCATAGACACGATAAATTTTTTTATAAAAAACTAATTATTTCTCATTAGCATTATTGATTCAATAATTGCCCATTTGTTTTTTTTTTCACATTTTAAATTGTTTAAATTTGAAAACATTTTATCATGAAATTATAAAACAATAACAGATTGTTGAGAAATCTTTATAGAAATTTAATTTTTTTAAATTGAAATGAACCAAGAGCATGAAATCCCATGTGATTTACATAATGTAATTAGTGAGTTTTTCGTTATATTTATTATACAGCAAAAAAATATTTTATATTTCATAAATAAGTTATATAAATGATATAAAATTATCTTATAATTATTAAATTTATAATCTTCTTGAATATTTGTTGCATTCGACAATATTATTCAAATTGTACGAACTGTATGTCTGTAAATTTTTTCTCATACGTGCTTGTGTAATAAATAAATGTTTATAATATCGTAAATATTTATAATTTTATTTACTTTCGAACTAAAAGAGAGAGAAAATAAATTTCTTTTAATTTGATTAATTTTGTTATTTAGTTAAAATAAATTCTTTAATGTACATAATAATAATAAATATGTGATTTTATTTTATTATAATTTTAGATAATAAGCAAGTTAGATGAACAGAAATATTTTTATATATTTGCTAGCAAACAGCAAGTAAAAGTTAATTATGATGTTGGATGTAAAGAACATAATTCAAAATTATTTATCAATAAGAGAGCAGAAAAACATTTGAAAAACAGTATTTGTATTAACTCTTTTTTGTCTTTGAATAAGATGATAACGAAAAAGTTGTATAATGACAATTATCCCGATGTAACGTCTTGTAAGTATCAAACAGTATAGCGTTATCGAAAGTATTTTTCAATGAGATTAAAATAAATGATAATCCTTTTCAAAATTTTCATATGATATGTAGGAAATACTATTTGCCTTTAAATTCGAAGGTCTTGGAATATTTAAAATTAAAATTAATTAAGTAATTTATATTCGTATAAGAATAAACATATATATTTTTAATCTTAAGTAAAAAAGTGGGCCGACTAGTTTATAAAATTCAAGTTTCGTTGAGGATGAAATTTTTGCTATTATTCTTACATAGAGCATTAATAAAAATTTAATGTTATAAATCGAAAAATTATAAAGTATGAAATTCAAAATTCATTATTTTTTCATGTTAAAAATGTTTAATTGATTTTTCAAAAAAAAAAAAAAAAAAAAAAAAAAAAAAAAAATTCCTTTATTGACTTGTTTTTCATTCGTTAAATAAATCAATTATTTGAAAATCTAGAGTGACAAATTAAACAATGAAAATCAGCATTTATCGCAGAGATTTTACGAGTACAACTAGTCATGAATAATTACTATTACCTTCATTTCATAGATGTCGGAATAACAAATGTAATTGTTGACATTTTCGTACTCTCGTATACGTACATTATCTGATGTAATTTAAGGCATACATTGATCCTACACACAATGAAAAATATATGAATTCTAATTTTTATATAATTTGTTTTTTTTCATTTTTTGTCAGATCGTTCTATATTAAATACATACAAAGTAAAATCAAATGCAAATTTGAGAAGATTTGTGAATCAATCAGTACTTAAGCTGGTAAGTTGTTATTTATAATGTCATAGGTGTAGTTAATAAATTAACTTGTTTTGATTATTTTGATTTTTAGATTGATAAGGATAAATCTTTGAAAGAACTATATGAAATAAGAAATATAACTGTTGTCTTTATTAGAATTTCTTCATCAAAATCCGACATATCTGCACTTGTATCTCTAGCTGATAAATGTCATGCAATTATAATAAAGTACGTTTTATCAGTTATAGAATTTTTCTTTCATATCTTTTAAAATTTGAATGTTATTAATTTGAAATATTCTTTAGAATTATCGTTTATGTCAAACGAAATGTTTGACATTTTGTTTTAATTTACTCTTTTATGTATATGCATCTAACAGATCCAAAAGATTCAATAACGATAAGTTAAATTATATATTTTGTAACTAAAAAAATAATACTTAATTTAAAGAATGAACCGCCTAACAAATTAAGTAAAATTATCAATGTATACAGAAATATATATATATATATATATATATATTGTATATGATATTTCTTAATGTTTATTTTTTGTTTATTTTGAAGGTTATTTATCAGATAACTATTCGTAAATTCGCATATACTAAAGTTTTATCAGTACAATATAACTTGACATATTTATTCTTTAATTTTACGTTTGTTAATAAAACACAGTAGTTGTTATTTAACTATCCTCGATTTTACTTTCTACGGCATTATCATTTAATAAAAAAAAATTTTGCTTATTAAAAATTAATAAATTTATATATTTAAAGACATATATATTAAATCAAAGTAATTTCAAGTATTACTTCATATGATATACAAGGTAACTGTTTTTCAAGAGATCTTTTAAGTATAAATTATGAAATTTAAATAGAAAGACATATGCGAGTAATAATCAATAAAATGAAATATTTTATCATTAAAGAATTAAATATTTATATTTTTTCAGAGCTTGCAAAAATCTAGGATGCATTCAAGAAATAAGTATATGTGACAAAATTGTATTTTGCATTATATTTGGGATGTATACCTTTATAAAAGATTTAAATCATTGTCAATTTGCTGTTTTATGCGCTTGGGAGTTGTTCAATTTATTGAAAGTCATGACAGATATTGAAGAGGTTTCCGTGGGCGTTTCAACAGGTGAACTTTTATCTATTTACTAGCGTTCGGCTAAAATAGTTATGACTAAATAGATTCCACACATCACTCGCTTTATTTTTTTATCCTTAAGATTATTTAGTTTCCTTCGAAGAACTTATAATTGAGTAAGCGAATGATAAATCCTTAGTATAAAGGAATTAGATCGAATAAGAAAGTGATATTTTTGTATATTTATCTACCAGATGAGAGTGTGTGGATCGTTGAAAAATAATACGTATTTATAAATGAAGTAATACGTCAGTTAAAACAGTATTCAATCCATTAGGATTTTTCGGATAAACATTTAATTTCTCAATTAGAGCATAATTTTATTGCACGATATTTTTTAGTGCTATAAATGAAAATTATCATAAAATCTTGGGAGTACATATAATGTGTTAATTTATGAATATTAATCGATAAATCGATCGTTGGAAAGTAGTTATAAAGTGGGCAATTGATTATAAATTGATAAGTAGCTAAATCGATGTTGTCTTTATCACTGAAAAAATATGTTGTAATAATGTAGTAATCGATTATTATTATCGATTGATTTTTCTTTATGTTAAATTAAAGAGTCGAAGTATTCGAGTTATAGCTACAATAAAAAAAATAGAGTATATTAAGTAATTTTTATCCTTGGCTTATTAAATATCATATTGTATAAAGTATCAGACTGATGTATACTCAAAATAAATCACCGATAATCAATTGTACAAGTTGGGACAATTTTAATTCCCTCTTCGCTTTGCGCTTTTAAAGAGCATATACAGCTTTTGACAATTTAACACTTTAATTATATGTTATCAAATTTATTATTCATAATTTTAAAATTATATATAATTTTTATATAGTTTAGGAAATGTACAATATCGATAAATATTCATTTTGCAACATATTTACGTATTAATTTACTTATTATTATCATTTAATAATTTATATACCAAAAAAAAAAAAAAAAAAAAAAAAAAAAAAAAAAAAAAAAAAATTCTTTTCCCTTTCTATATACGATCGGAGTTAATATAGATTATAATATAGAGAGACGTTAATATAAAAAATTATATGTTTCAGGAATAGCACAGTGCATGGTTATTGGTAATATTTTACGGCGTCATTACACAACATTTGGTCCTCCCATGACAAAGGCTAAGAATATAATGCTTATGTCATCTAATACGGTATTAAATTAATGAGAAAAATATTATAGTTAAAATATGAATATAGTTCGAGCAAAAGTGAATTGAGATAGGAAAAACAAGAATTGAAAATTTCCGTTATATAATAATATTGTTTAGAAATAATCCAATGATATGTATCTTTTTAATTAGATTGAATGTGATTTGGATACTCTTTTGTACAGTGGTTTAAAAAGAAATAATTTCAAATGGTCAGGTATAATAAATTGCCGAGGATTTGAGAATGGAAGTTCTTTTACTTATATGCACATGTGAGTGAATACGCACGCATATAATACCTATAACCTAAAACTAATGCTCAATATTTATTTATGATGCAATAATTTAAAAGACCCGTGAGTAATTAATAAGTCTTGTAGATTTTTATAAGATAATGCGAGGGTAATATTTATTTTTAATATTTAATTTTTTTTTAATCAGATATTGCCTTAATAAAAAAAAAGAAGATGTGTAAGTTTTTTTTTTTTTAAATATTTAAAGACAATAATACGTAAAAGAAAGTCGTAAGGCGCATCTTTCTATTACAAATTCTTATAATAATTTATTTAATAATTTTATTTATATTTTTATACGTATTTTATGGCTACGTTTTTTTTTTTCTTTTTTTTTTTTGTATTTTGTTTTTAATCTTTTTATCATATATATATATATATATATATATATATATATATATTACAATATTTAAAGATATGGTAGAAATATATTTATTACAGGCTTGAGGATTTGAAATTCAATAATAAACAAAGTGCATATCCGTTGTTAAGCAGATTAGAAGAATTAGACATTTTTGATGATATATTAAACGATATTGGTCTATCGCACCGTCCGTATGCCGGTATCTTAATCGAGGTTTATATATTGATTATAAAATTAAATAAAGATGAACGATCAAAGCGTTTACCTCTTACGTACGTAAATTCGAAAGCTCGAGCGTGTGGCAATTTTGAGAAAATATTTATTATTCATTGCTACACGAGCGTATACTTTTATATCAATACATTTATGCACTTTATTTAAATAAAAGAATATTTTTAAACGAATATTCTCCGTCTCGGGTAAAGTATCTCATTATTATACAAATTTTTTATGTTAATTTAATATTGCTGTTAACGTTATATAAGAAAATTGTCATTTCGCGTTGATGTAAAGTATAAGCGTAAGCTGAATTATAATCCATCAGAATGTTAAAATCATAGGCACAATAATAATGGCCGTGCTTTTCTTACACAGGGACAAACTAGAATTGGAAAGTCTCGGATTTTGGATGCTTTCAATTTGTTCGCTAAAGATAAGCAAATAAACGTCGTGAAGCTCATACTTCATCCATCATTTACCGTGAAATCATACGTAGTAATTTACAAGATCCTCGAGCAGGTAAGTAATGTTGCCATTTATTCGACGCGATAATTTCAATTCACCATTACTCGATCGCTTCAGCCGCTCGCCTATTAAGAATAATTCTGCCTTACCTACGGAGAGTAAGCGCGGCTTGTAAAATTGCACTCACGCCCGCTTGTATCGTTTAATGCGTGTCCGTGAAAGCTTTTCTTATTCGTTTACATTAGATTTTCGAAATACAAGACTGCAAAACGATAGACGAGATCGAAAGGAATCTTATTCAAAAGTTGAGTCCAATATTGAAGCGGAACGAGCTCTGTTATTTAAACAGGATTATGAGGATGCAGTTTAAGCTTTCTAAAAAGTTCATCTCCGAGTCCGACTGGCATCGTCACTACAATACCCTGAAAATCTTCGGGAAGATTTTGAAAAAAGTTGAGCTATCTATAAATTTTCTTTCAACCCAATCGCGATTATGTTTGTTGGGACGTTGGATATTCGCATGGGAAAGCAGCGCTTTTACATCACCGACACCACCGGTATCTTTAAAATATTCATCACGTCAATTGCAAAGCAACCGATCTACGTGTTTAGCTCGATAGATTTATCCGAGAATAATGAGTCGACGACGATATTATACCTACGCCTAGTTGATATTACATCCATTGCACAATATCCATTCAAAATACAGTCCAATAATTAGCTTTTTCAATATTTTCAGTAGTGAATAATATTTTTATCGTAACTTCCGTAATATAATGTTAATCGAGTGTCAATAATCAGCAACGAATCTCCATTATTCCACATATAAAGATTCATTAGTAAATAAAATCATTTGAATTTTCATCGTGAGTTAGCCGAACGAACGGGCCATTCATTTGCATTAACATATCGGCTTTAAAAGTTTCTAACGCTCCTGCGTATTGTTCACAGTACAGTGGAAAACTGTGTATCCTACTCGATGACGTCCAGTACATGGATTACATGTCGTGGAAGTACTTGACGCACGCGCTATATAACAAGAACATCGCTCTAGCAATGACAATTCACGAACCGCTTTCGTGGCAAGACTTGTCGAAAGTCGAGATAGATATCTATAATGATAAGCGTCTGCTACGGCACACCTTAACTGGATTGCAGCTTAATTATCTGCCCGCTTTGATATGCCAATTTTTGAACGTTCATGGCATTGCCATTAAAATATACGAGTAACTATGTATTTTGTATTATAAGAATTTCACCGGAGCCCCCTCCCGAACCCTGATTTACACGAGCTGGATTTTTCATAGAGCCAATTAACTTTGTCGTTCGTTGCAATTTTCACAATTGCAATGTGCGTTCGTCGTGGCAACGGGAGACGTACGATGTAGCCATTCCCTATTAAATTCCTGCCCGAGCCGTCGAATGTGCTGCACATACGTAGCATTTAAAAGCTTATTTGACCTCTCCAATCCTCTCCACCTCTTCCCATAATTATCAATTATCAATTCGCAACTATTACTCTCAAACGTTTACACTCCCGACTCGCAATACCTTGCTCTTTCCCACAAATAATCACTTATTATTCCAGATTTTTCAGAGATTATAATATACAAAGTCCCGGATGGATCGAATTATTCTTAACGCTAATGATTTTATATGGTGCAATAAATTTCGTCAAATTTGCGCCGTACGACACGGCCAGTAGGAGCTTTATTTTTCCCGAATCAATTTTTACTACCAGGATTTCGCCCGACTTGTTTCCGGAAGAGGTCACGTCTTCCGGACCATGGTACAAAAGAAATTCCGTCATAGTTTGCTATGCAAATAATAATTTCGGCATTGCCAAATCACTGAAGGAGTGGAATATCAAAGGTAAAAATATTTGTAACATTGCACACACGATAACGTATCGTTAACCATAATTGTCCATTAAAATATATTATTGGCCACACATGCTCGTCTCAATGACAATGCTCATAATAATAATTATTAATTAATAACGACGACGGAGTTCTTCGCTCTAAGGCATACCGAATTTTTTCAATCTTAATCTTTTTAAAGGACACGTAAAAGTTGATAATAGGGAGGAAAAGTGTAAAAATGCAAATAATCAACGTGCATTATCAAGATAACAAATCTCGGCACTTAAGCGAATGCAGAAAATGGCCAAACACAAATAGCGCACGCGCGCACAATCTAGCTATCCGAAATTGATAAGGACCAAGCCGAAGCTTAAAATCATCCACTTTAAGCGCGTGCGCTAAATATAAGTTCATATACCTTGCGCAGCTGTCTTACGTCTGTACACAGACGAATAAATAAAAAAGTATATTATTCGCGTATGCGCATAATAGAAAAAGTACGCAAATAGACACTTCGCTTAACGATCCGCGAGGCAAACGTGCCTTTACCCGACAATGCCTCGCGCACGCCGCAGAGTTACTTAACATTTATGGGAGCTATTTAAGATATTTATTTACCGAGTACAATTCGTTAAATTTTCATCCGCAGCTCTTGTATTGGAAATTTATACGAGGCTCACCAGTTACGAGCAGGACATTGTTAAATGCGCGGCGGTGATCGGCAAGGTGTTCACTCGCAGCATGTTGGAACGAATAATTCCCAATCACCAGTCGTGGAAAACGGAAGAAGGTAATGCAACGTTGTACGGTCTAGGAAAATGTCTTTGCACATGCGCGCCTCGATCACACACCAGGCGATTATCGACAATTTTGCAAAAAAGTTTGCAAAAGTTCGTTATCGAGATATGCGCGTTGCGAGGAGATAATTTTACACTTTGATTAATGAAATTCTAATAATGGGTCTGGTTCGTTAATTTCTCTCCAGTTCTCTTACCGGCAAATACATTGTTACTTTCTATTATAAAAATTACATCTTTCCTTCGTATACATATATAGCGTAATGTGTTGCCTCTTACCTGCTACTCGACTGTATATTCTATGAACATGAATTGTGCGAATTCAATGTTCCCTTACTTATATATATATATATATATATATAGACAGACAAATACATAAATGCATATTGTCTTTATGTGTATGTGTGTAGCGGTAAAAGAGGGCAATTGTTATTTGATTTCGTTTTGACGCAATTACATCCTGCTGGGACATTTTAATAAATACATCCTGCTGCACGAATGCGTGTAAATTTGTGCAAAATCCTTGTTTAATAATTATATGGAAATTTCTTATTGTGCAACCGTGAAAGATACAAATTATTCAAAAGTATTTCTGGATAAACGTAACTACTCATAAGATAATGATTTAAGAACAATTAGTCATGCGAGAAACGTAAAATTACGCGTCGACAATTAAAAATAAGCTTCCGGTCTTTCTAAGATACACGAAAATCTATTTAAGATTAAGCCCGTGCAAATTGCAGCCATAGAAAATCTGATACGATTACGAATTTTCGAATGTGCCGCGCTGCAGAGGTGCAGCTATAAGGTCACTGACCTCAGCAACTGCTCCTTCGAGCAAAGGAGTACTTTCTCGGATATGCATCACTTGGTACGGTGCTGGTGTCACTCGCACTGTAAGGAGCCTTACATTACATACATTATTATCTATATCTACTTTCTAGACAGTAGACCACGATTATAAACTCACTTTTTTTTTTTACTCGATCCCATTATTCGAATACTCGCTTACTCAATCTTATGTATTTTTTCTCTCCTTAAAGTCTATTCTTTGTTAATTATTGTTTATGTTAAATCATTAATATCAATATTAATAAATTACGTTATTGTGAGTTGCATTATAATGGCGCAACTCTAATATATATATATAAACTATTAAAAATGATTACATGCTTTAGTGCCTCATTTTATTTATATATTTATATAAGGCTGTCGCTAATACGCTAATAACATTCTTATAATGAATTTCAATTCATTATTATTTTAATTCGATAATCTTAAGTGTCAAAATAAATGTAAAAAATTAAATAACACTTTATTAATCTTTACGATTGAAGCGAATTCGTTAACGCAACACTATTTGTCATCGTATGCTCACTGTCGCATCTTAGAGTTCAAAGCCTCGATCTTTCATAGTATTATATACACTTCCTTAACGGAAAACGAGAGAAAAAGGTTTCATCTAGAGCTTGTAGAAATCTATGTGAAGGATGCCAGAAAATGCATAGCTTGCGGTGGAGGATCCTTTTTGAAGGTTCCAGGAAACAACGAATTGGTAAGGTGTAATACTGTAGTACTGTAGCACCAAAATAACTTGCCCATCTAACGCCTAATTGTTCATGCATCATGCACTTTCCAAATTTTTTTGATATTTAACAATTTTTTCCTAATTTTTCTTCTAGTATCATAATAATTAATAATAATAATAATTAATAATAATAATAATAATAATAATAATAATAATAAATTATTAAAAAACATTTTTTTTTTTTAAAATTATTATTATTTAGAACACTCGAACATCCTATCTGATAGATGAAAGGAACGAAGTAGTTAATATGGAAAATAGTAATGATATCGAGACAGATCCGAATATAAATAATAACAAGGATCCAATTGAAATTTCCAATGTACCCATATCGATTGTAGCTGACGAAGGTTCTCGTATGGATTTATTATCACGTTCTTTTGTTACAATGACATTTTTAAAATAAATACCTAAAAGCGCGAATATTCTCTGTTAATGCATTTTTTTCAAATCAACTTTATAATTATAAATTAGATAAACAACAAATAACTCAGTCAATATGCAGGCGATTTAAAATTCATCCAATAACATTCAAGCATGACAATCGGATATTAAATCTAAACAATTTTCGTGAAATAGATTTTCGGAATTGCTTTTGTCTCAATGTTATCGAGCAAATTTTTTCGAAACTCGAGCATCACATTATAAATATCGGTAAGCTATTTATGAATGGCAATAATAATTCTATCATTCGAATTATATGTTTTAAAAATTGGAAAATCTCCGTAATAGACGACAACAAGAAAGTAATATATTTTATGCTGGAATACGTTGCCGCCCTAATTCAATTCGGCCAACCGGATTACGCACTCCAATTGTTGGCTGTAGCAATGGAACGAAACGACGTATGCGCCATAATAACATTGCTCTATTTATTATTTATAAAACACCGTCTATTCGTTTTAGTGTGTTAATATTTATGACGCTTGGATAAACTCGGGGCTGTACAGTAAAATAATTACGAAAAGTATAATACTTTCCTTAAAAGGTATTATTATCATTATTATTATTATTATTATTATTATTATTATTATTATTATTATTTTTACATTTGTCTAATGATCATCA